CATTTTCCCTTCCACATGTCCATTTTTTATGGTACACTTTTGCAAGATGACCTCGCTTCTGACAAACCCAACACTCCCTATTCTTGTATGGGCAGGAGATATGATCATGTTTTTCCCCACATCTAAAGCAACTTTGTGTGTTCTTAAGAAGGTACCTGTTTACTTAAAGATTAATTTGCTTTATATGGAATGCTGGACAATTTGTGCATGGTGCCTGCAACTCTTTGACAGTCTAAGTGCTTCTTAGTGCTTCCCTGTAAATCCAAAGCATGCTGTGCAGCTACTTCCACGCCTTGTGCTATTTCCAAAACTTTCTTAAAATCTAAGGCGGACTCTGCCAACAGACCTCTCTGAATTCTTTCATCATTGAAACCAGAGAAAAGTCTATTCTGCAGCATGGAATTTAATGTATCTCCAAAACCACAGTTCTCGGATAAGCCACACAGATCTGCAACAAAAACTGTCTCAGATGTTCCAGGTTGTCAGGAAAAATTATTAAAATTAAAATGCTGCACAATCTCTGATGGTGTGTGGTTATAATGGTGCATGACAACTTTAACCAGCTCATCAGAGGATTTAGCACTGGGCTTTTCTGGTGCCACCAAACTGTAGGTTTTTGCGCCACAAATGTTCAATAAATGGTGCTTCTTATCATCCTCTATATAATTTATGATGAAGTACTGAGAGTGTCTGATTCTGAGTACTGAATCCAGTCCTCCTGCTATATGTTATACTTTCACTTTTCCGAATGCAGCTATTTTTTTTTCCAATAAAAAAAAAAAGTTCTTCAAGTGATGTCCCTATGGGTGCTCCACTTGTGGGTGTTGCAGTCCCCCCGCCCCCGCATGTAGGATCTGAGATCTTTATCAGCAGTGCCCGTCGGACTGCACATGCACACCTCCCTCCTCTCGCACTGTGAGTGGGACATATATATATATAGCGCTGTGCAGTCCGACTGCCCTCAGTTCCTTCTCTACCGCCTTTGGTATGGGACAGAATCCGCAGCAGATATTCTCCTGCTTCTCCTATTCCTCCACTGGATAGTGCCTTACCTGTAAGTGTAGTGTAGTTAGTAATTTCTTCTTCTCATTTCTTCTCTTTAAAAAAACTAAAAGTTTTTTCTTTTAGTTTTGTTTAGCTTTACCTCTACAGTTCTCTCATAGCTTAGGTTTCTGTTTTCCCCGCTTCCTGCCCTTCCTGACCTTTTTCCATCACCCTTATGCCCAGATCCCCCAGGTTTAAGAGATGGGTTTCTTGCAGGGCTGCCTTCCCAGTAACAGACAGCTACCTGCAATGCATCCACTGTCTGGGAGAGGGACACATCCCTCAAAAGCATTCCCACTGCCTCAGCCAGAGCCAGAAAGAATTGGGACATTAGATTAAAACTTCTCATGGAGAAATCGCTGCGACTGGCGTCGGATCCGGGCCCGAACTCTTCCCTGGAGCTCTTCCCCCATGCTCTGCCAGGTCATCTGCCGATCCTCACTCCCCATGTCCTGTGAAGAGAAAGTCATCCCTTTCTTGCTCAGAAGAAAAAAAAAAAAAAAAAACAGGCTCCCTCTGCACATTCTGAGGCACTGCACACCAGAACACCATCCCCTCTGAGGTCTGTTGCCGCAACCTCATCTGACAGGGGACACAGCTCCAGGGTCTGTCCATGTACCTCCAGTACCAACACAAAGAAATAGTCTAAAGACTCTAAGTGGGCAGACCTACAGCCCTTGGCACCATTTCCCAGCTCTGGGGAATGAGACAGGCCAACGTCAAGAGCTACAACACTGGCACCCGAAGTCATAGGCACCCAGTAAGCCTGCAGCACCATCAAAATCATTGGCACTGGTCAAGTCTCTGGTGCCATCTATTGACACCTCAGGAGCATACACCCTTTCTTCGGCATTGTGTCTTACAGATGATGCTTTTTCCTTCTCTATAAGACTTTAGATACTCTAAAGACCTGCTGATGTCTGACACTCCTTGAGTCTCCGCTCCTTCAACATGATCTCCCCCCACTTCTACCCTCCTCTCCAGACTCATGACACTCCTCCCTCTCTCTGCTGACGATGCCACCTCCCTTCCCCAGTGATGAGGAGGAAGAAGACGAGGGCTCCATCACTCTCTCATCTACCAGACAAATTACACCTGCTCATCCTCACTATCCAGTCTATCTCTGGTCCTGAGTTTTGGCAGGGACCACCGTGGATGCAGCCACATGTGCCACTCCCTCCAAACTGGCCATATTCGGACCCTTGAGCCATGTACAGGGCAGAGTTCAGGAATCCTCTCAGACAGCAAAGCCAAAGACCTACAGCTGTCCCTTCTCCATCGGTCTCTCGCCCTCCAGAAGTCTAACCCCTGCCAGTACCAACTGAATAGGAAGAACAAGACGAGGAACAGGAGGAGGCGGCTCCACCAACACTACATTTTCCTCCTTCTCACCTGATGAAGCTATCATGCCTCCACCCCTATATCTGTTGACGACTTCAGGAATTTTCAAGATTTATTCCACAGGATGGCGGACTCCCTACAGATCTCGTTGCAGGAAGTCAAGGACCAGCAACATAAACTACTGGATATCCTCCACACATTAACTTCCTCCAAGATCACTCTATCAGTCAATGAGGCTCTTCTTGGCTCATGAAGATGCTGTGGCAGACCCTGGCGTCTATCCCTCTGACCTGCAAATGCACCAACAAGAAATATTATGTTCCAGTGAAGGATACGGAAATTCTATTCTCGCACTCCACCCCAAATTCTTTGGTAGTCAATGTGGTGCAAGAGAGAGGCTGTCAATACCGATCTCATTCTAGCCATCCAGACAGAGATTGGAAATGCCTAGACTTATTTGGATGTAAAGCATATTCATCAGCCATGCTCCAATTTAGAATCTTAAACTACAGAGCCCTCATGGCTAAGTATAGCTTCTTAAACTACTCCAAATTGGAGGAACTCTGCCAGGACCTACTGGAAGCCAAGAAAGAGCAGTTCCAGTCCCTGATATCAGAAGGGCACCTCCTAGCTCATACAGCCCTACAAGCCTCATTGGACTCTGCAGATACCACTGACCAGTCCATCGTGATTGCTGTGGTCATGAGGTGTGCATTATGGCTCCGCCTCTAGGGTTTTCCTAGGGAGGTACAAACCACAGTAGATGACATACCTTTTGAGGGCCAGAAACGATTCTCGGAGTGCACAGACAATTCTCTGCACTCCCTTAAAGACTTCTGAGCTACACTCTGATCTCTCAGAATTTACACGCCAGTGCCAAAGAGACGCTCAGGGAAGTACCAACTCCCCCCATGATCCTGAACACAGCAGGACACTCCTCAATGGCACTATGACACCCAGCGCTGAAGACAAAGGCCTCCTACTAAATGTGGACAGCCCACTCCTCAAGGGGCTACCTCTCTCACACCCCCACCGAAGAAGCAATTTTGAAGGTGTGGTCAAGGCCCTGAGAAGCCTTCCCCTTTTCTAGTCATTCCTACCATCTTCAATGTTCCAACAGTTTGGCAAACAATTAGCTCTGGTTTTCCCATCTTGGAGACTCATCACCTCAGACAAGTGGGCCCTAGAAATAATCAAGGAAGGGTATTCCACCGTGTAACAAGGCGTTCGCTCACCCTCGCAACAAATCAGCCAGAGACCTCTTCTGAGTGCAGTCACCAGTGCCTTTTATTTACAGTGTCAGCTCCCACCACCTTCTATTTACAGTCTGCTCCAAACCAGCAACCTGGGGGACAGCTAGCTTCTCCAGCCAGCAGGGATGCACAGCCTTTGGCTCCTCCCCTTCCTTTCTCTTCCCCCCTTCACTTCCTTCCTGCCAGCCCTATATAGCCCACTGGCTAATGAGGCCTGCAGGTGCTTCCCTTCTAGCAATTAGGCATGGCATACTCAGCCAGCCCCAATTAATGCTGCTTAATTGGAGCTGGGCTAACAGGGGCCTGGCTCAGCACCTTCTGACCAGCATCCTGTTACACACCCCCTTCCTATCTATCCTGCCCTGCCACCCCCTGCTCCATCCCTCTTCAGGGACCCCTCTCACAATTCCATTCTATGGGGAGAAATAAATCTTCTGCAACTGGGAGCCATAAAACCAGTCCCTTTCAAGCACACGGGACAGGTTTCTACTCCCACTATTTCCTGATCCAGAAGAAATCTGGCGGCTGGCGACCCATCCTGGACCTTCACAGTCAAAACAAATTTGTCAAACTGCAACATTTCAAGATGGTTACCCTCTCCACTGTTATCCCAGCACTGGAACAGAGGGACTGGTTCTCAGCCCTTGACCTCCAAGACGCATACTTTCACATTGCAATACACCCTGCCCACTGACGATTTCTCTGATTCGTTATGGGAGACAGCCACTACCAGTACAAAGCACTGCCTTTCGGACTGTCCACGACACCGTGGGAGTTCTCCAAGGTCCTCGCAGTAGTCGCTGCCTACCTAAGGAAACAAGGAGTCATCATCTTTCCATACTTGGACAGCTGTCTCCTGAAGGCCCCATCCAAAACCGACACTCTCCGAGCCATCCACGTGACAATGGACCTGTTCATGAAGCTAGGCCGCCTCATGAACCTAGAAAAGTCCACTTAAACACCAGTACAACAGCTGGAATTCATTGGCACACAGTAGGATGCCATACAAGCCAGAGACTTCCTACCACCTCACAGATTCTCGGCTATAGCAGATCTGGTATCAATGCATGGATTTGCCCCCAGATCTCTGCCAGAACAGGTCTCCAATTTCTAGGCCACATGGCAATGGCCACGTTTGTGGTCAGGCATGCAAGACTCCACATGCAATGTCTTCAGGCATGGCTTCCCTAATCATTTGGGGAGTGCATCTCCATGATCACACAGTGCAGGACAGATGGTCGTTAAGAGAATCCACCCTACACATCAATCTCCTAGAACTACGGGCAGTCTGCAATGCCTGTCGACATTTCCTACCTCTACTCAAACATCACACCATCAGAGTGATGACAGAATCTCGTTAGCATGTATTACATCAACAGGGAGGGTGGAGCGAGGTCCCACTCTTTATGCTCGGAGGCACTCAAACTATGGAACTGGTGTATCCAGAACAACATCTCCATTTCAGCAGTATACCTACCTGGACAGCAAAACACCACTGCAGATGCACTGATCAGGAGGTCATCTCACAATCAAGAGTGGGAACTTGATATGCAAGCACTTCAGCCCATCTTCAACCACTGGGGCCGCCCCACCATAGATCTCTTTGCCACTCACTGCAACGCCTGCTGCCCTCAATTCTGTTCCAGAGTGGAACTGGGACACAGATCACTGGGAGATACATTGTTCATAACATGGGATGCACCACTCTTTTATGCCTTCCCTCCATTTCCCCTCCTCTTCTGAGTACTTCGCAAGATACAGGACGACCAAGCCATGTCATACTAGTAGCTCCAAATTGGCCATGTTAGGTCTGGTATACTTACATCCTCCACATGATGGTATGCCGACCGATCTCTCTCCATCTAACACCGCGGCTCCTTTCACAGGACACATCCTCCATCCCAATCCACGGCTGCTCCACCTCAAAGACTAGCTCCTCCGTGGTTCCAGGATTTGGAAATAACCTGTTTGGACGCAATCAAACAGATACTTTTGAATAGCAGGCGTGACACGACCAGATGTACTCACGTTCACAAATGGACTAGATTTCACTGCTGGTGCACCTCCCACTAAGTTGACACAGCGTGTGCTCCGCTACCACTTATCCTGGACTATATGCTACACCTTAAACAGTCAGGGTTATTCACTAGCTCTATATGACAGCAATCACTACTTTTCACTACCCCATAGATGGTCATTCCGTCTCTGTGCATCTGCTCATGAAACGTTTTCTGAAGGGTATCCAAAATCTTTATCCTCCTATACAACACCCAACCCCTGCCTGGGATCTTGGCCTCATCCTACATTCTCTGACTAAACCCCCATTTGAACCGATGGCAAACTGTTCTTATGTGCATCTGTCAATGAAAATGGCCTTCCTTGTCTCCATCAGTTCTGCCTGACGAGTTGGTGAAATCGCGGCCCTTATGGAATATCCACCATACACATTGTTTTATAAGGACAAAGTTACACTATGTCCACATCCAAGATTTCTACCTAAGGCCCCAATATCTTTCCATCTTCACCAACCAATACACCTTCCTTGCTTCTTCCCAAAGCCTCACAGTAACCAGGTGGAGGCAGCTCTACACACCCTAGATGTGAGACAAGCATTAGCCTTTTACTTGGACAGGACTAAATCTTTCCAGAAATCACCATGGTTATTCCTCTCCACTACTGAAAGATCCAGAGGCACTGCCATTTCTAAACAAAGCCTTTCAAAATGGATCTTGCAGTATATACATTTATCTTATGAGCTCAATGACAGACAACCTCCTACCTCAATCAGAGCAAATTCCACATGCTCATTATCCATCTTGATAGCCTCTCTCAATAATGTCCCCATTATTGAAATTTGCAAAGTGGCTACATGGGCATCAGCAGACACTTTTGCCTGTCACTACGCTATTATGAATGATGCTTCAGGGAATACTCTCCTAGAACATGCTGTCCTATCATCGATAGTAAATGTTGCTCTGAAGCCCTAGCCTTCCAATTAGGGGCACTGCTTTCTATTCACCTACAAGTGGACCACCAATAGAGACATCGCTCGAAGAAGAAGAGAAGGTTACTCCCTCTGTGCAGTAACTGAAGTTCTTCAAGTTGTGTGTCCTTATGGGTTTTCCATTTCTCCCCCTCCTCCCCTCTGCTTTGGAGCCAAACAAACATAAGCTCTGTGTCAGAGAGGGAACCGGAGGCGGTCAGACTGCACAGTGCTATATATACTTCCTGCTCACAGTGCGAGGGGTGGTGCACATGTGCTGTCCGACGCACTGCTGTTGAAGATCTCTGATCCCAGGCCCAAGGGGTGTTGCCGCAAGTACAAGTGGAGCACCCACAGGGATACACATCTCGAAGAACTTCAGTTACTGCACATTGTGAGTAACCTTCTCTTTTCAATGTGTAGAAATTTCTGGGTGCTGTTTTCAGTATATCCTCATTGCCAATGTAGTATACAGAATAATAGAATATAGGTCTGGAAGGGTTCTCGAGAAGTCATCAAGTCCAGCCCTCTAGGCTGACACAGGACCAAGTAAACCTAGACCATCCCTGACCGTGTTTGTCCAGCCTGGTCTTAAACATCTTCAATGATGGCGATTCTACAAGTTCCCTTGAAAGTCTCTTCTAGAGTTTAACTACCCTTACAGTTACAAACATTTTCCTAATATCTAACCTAACTCTCCCTTGCTGCAGATTAAGCCTATTACTTCTTGTCCTACTTTCAGGGGACATGGAGACCCAAAACAGATTAGAACTGAAAATTGGGATTTTTTATTCTGACACACGTTCGTGTTGACAACTAAGCAGCCTCCATCTTGAAAAACTTCACGCCCCCCCACAACTCCATGGAGCATATTCAGTACAGCCTTGGGGCATCTAACAGTAAATAGTTATTCTCACATTGACCACCAGGAGATAATAAGTATAACAAAAATACCTACAACATTGTAAAATTAGAAATCAAGGATAAAATCTCTTGCATTTTTTGCCCCTTTCACATCACCAGATCACACACTCCAGCATTCTGTAAGGCTTTCACTTCCATCTCTGAGGCCCCAGGACTGCAACACACTTAAGCAAATGCTTAATAAGTGCTTAAGTCCCATTGGAGTCAAGTTTCCAGTTTCCATGAATATCAGCAATAAAGATGTATTCAATCATTTTATTGAAAATATAAACTTTTATGCTCTACGCTGTATACTTATCTCATTTAACACTGATTCATTTTACTCAAGCTTCAGGCTCTGTACCTCACATCTCTGTTGAGGGTCACCAAGATGGAGGGATCCGAGTGGTGTGTCAGTCAGCAGGATGGTATCCAGAGCCCGATGTGGTGTGGAGAGATCTCAGTGGGCAGCATTTATCTTCAACTGAAACAAAATCCAAAGATGAACGTGGGCTCTTTGAAATAAAAAATTCTATCATTATAACAGAAATTTCAAACCAGAATTTATCTTGTTCTATAAGGAACACCAACCTGACTGAAGAAAAGGAATTAATAACTTTTTATATATCAGGTCAGTTACCACCAAAACCACACACTTTCATACCCAACAGGAAAAAAATCAGATTGCTAAATAATTTAAAAGTTAAAATATTCCCTCACAAAAATCTACATTTAAGATAAAGTTAAGGTTGAGAGCACAATTTATGGTAAAGTACATTCCGGGGATATTGTAGTTACCCCAGAAAAAAAACATTTTAAACCCAGGAAATTTAGGCTTAAGGTTAACTTTAAAAGAAATTCAAACATGTTAATGCATGGAAGTGCCCTGTAGTGACACTAACGTTTATATTTAAAGTCACATTAGATTTTTTTTTCTCAGACAGTCACCACTGGGCAGTGTTAAGGTATATCGAGAGCCCTACTGATTGGTTGGACTTTCTTCCTCCTAGTGGACTGATGGATCAAGGACTAGGCTTCTTGCCCCACTGAATATGGAGAGGGAGATGTGATATGCTGTGATCTTTGAACATAGAGGAAATTTGTGACTGTTGAGTCTCTCCTCATGGAGGGTCAGAAGCAAGGCAGGTCCAAGAAAGTCTGGAGCCCTGTGAACAGTCATTTGAGTGTGTCATTCACTACAAGGTCCAAGATTTAATATGAAGTTTGATTTCTCACCCTTTAGCAAACTTCACACAGGGAAAGGGGTTGCCATAATAACAAAATCCTATTTACAAGCTGGACTTTTTCAAAGGCTTATAACAACCAATTTTTGGGTGGGTTTTCACAGGAAAAAGGCACATTGCTGATACAGAGGTCACCCCTGTAAATATCAAGTCTCTGCTCAAAAGCCCGGGGCAGTAAAGCTTCTCATAAAAATGGTCATCAGACTTTTTGATTTTTTTAATGTCAGAACAATGTATTATTCCCTAACCCCATTCTCAGAAACAGTTGAACCATTTTGGCTTAAACGTTTAAAAAAGTTCAGCCTGAGGCAGACACCGAGCATGGAAATTTTCTGCCCATACGGCTAAAGTTTGGCAAAGTAATAAGCAACTGAAAACAAGGCCCTATAATGGGAAGGATCAAACAACCTTAATAACAGCTGATGTGACCAGCCCCACATATATATATGTGGGGGAAGAGGGAGATGGGGAGAGGCTGGTAGCACTTTAGATAGTATTTAGTACACCATCCAATACTATCAAAAGGGTGTGAGCAGAACTTGTTTTTAAAATTGGTTTCTGCCTGTTTTTATATTCCAGGGAGCAATTTTTTCTGCACATCTCATACAAATCCTGATGTGATGCAATTTGTAGAATAAAAGTATACTGTTGGTTTAACGTTTCCAAACTAATATGGGCTTTGTGTTTCAGATTCCTTTTTTCCAAGAGTCTCTCTGTGGATGGTGGCTTTGAGTGTGATCCTGATGATTTTGTTGGTATTCATCAGCCTTACTCTTTTTCTGTTCAAATTAAGAGGTAAAGCTCTAATGGGAAAAATGCAGTGTAATCAGAATGAGATTTTCTCCTTAAAAAAGATAGTTAAAGTCTGTCTATATGAGAAATTTACACGAGATTAAGGTGTGAATTTAAATTGAGTTTTTTAAACCAATGCAAACCCGTGTGGACATATCAGTATAAGAGGAGTTTATTTCAGGTTAGCTTAAACCTGTTCCTATTCATCTTAAAATAAGCCTAACACTAAGTTTGCACCAGTTTAATTAGATTTACAATGGAGCCTGAGGGAGTTAGGTTCCCAACTCTCATTGAAATTCAATGTGCTTTGGGCTGTTAAGTATCCTTGGGTCCTATGAAAATCCTTGCCTTATGGAGTTTGACACATTTAATTCTAGTATATTCAAAAGATTATTACAATATTAATGAATGGTTTAAATTTTATTTATGTTTTCTTTTTTAGGGAAACATCTTGACACTATCAGTAAGTTCCATTTTTCTCCTGGTAGAACCAATGTTATGGTATGAAAGATTTTTGAATGAATGTGACAATGTCAACTTGAAAATCATAAGCAATACTAATTGCATAACTTGTTATGTCGGTAATGGGTAATGTACATGTGTCTTCAGTGAGGCAGCATAGAGTGGGTGCCCATGGGGATTGTGCACTTGATGCCCATGGCAGAAATGGCTCCATGCCAGCTCCATATAAACAACTTCTGAGACGGGCTGGTGGCAGCCCAGGATTGAAATGAGGATGTGGCCACTGGGGCTAGGATTATGTGCACTGAGAGCCCACAGCCTTGGCATGTAGGCACTGCATATGAGTTATAATTGTGATCTTTCATCCAGCTCAAGGCTGGAATAATGGTCAATGAGAGACTTCTGGGCTGCCTTCTGTCTTTCCTTACAGAGCTGCACCAGGTCAGACCCATAATGTAGTGCAGCAGTGTCACACCAGTGCAAGTCGCTTATCCTGAGTTCAATCCCGAGGATTGTATTGATGCAAAACAATGCACAGTAGACAGATCTAAATGATCAATAATGGGGGGGACAGCAGTTAATTTCACTCAAAAGAAGCTTTTACAGAATGTCCTTTTCTTTCTTTTTATTATTTAGGTAAACTTCACACAGAGCTAGGTAAGGGTATTTTTTGTTTTGTTTCTCTCTAATGCAGCCTTTTCTGTGATAATGAATCCTATTGATATTGAATTTGTCTGGTTTAGTTCTCATCCTCATCTATATGTTTGCTTTCAGAGTGGAGAAGATCCCTTAGTGACTCAGGTAATTACAACTCATATTTAATGAATGAGAGATCCTGCTCCCTTCTACTGTATAACAAATAAGGAGAAATTATAATATAATATAATTTCCCTGGTCAGAGACAAGAGGATCCTGAGGGTCAAAGGAAGGAGAGAAATGGACTATTGCAATACATTCTCCTTACACATTGATCTCATAATTCTGGAAACAATCCCTGCTCTGAGTGACTGAGCAGTTCTTGTTTCTTAGGATCCAGCCCTAGTGTCAGGTGGTGACCAGGCCTCCAAGGAGTCACTCAAAGTTCAACTTCTGCTTTTTTTCCTCTTCTCCCCTTTCTCTTCTCTCCATCAAATCCCAGCTTTCTGCTGTTTTTAACTATTGTATCCACTTTCTCCTCCATTAATTCCTTTATACCAAACCCCTTCTCCTCTCTCCAACACTACCTCCCTTATCTTGTAGAAGCTCCTGCTTGTAAATCAAAATCCCAATTTTAAAAATGAAATCTGGACTGGTAATTTTCTTTATCTGGCCCTGATGACTAGCTATAGAATTTTAATTAGGGATATATAGAATCTTGTCATTATTTACAGATCTTAGATATGTGGCCAGATGGGGCAGGCAACATGCTGTAATCAACAAGAGACATCCAAGCACCAAGATTTTAAAATTAAGAGAGGGAAGGAGGGCATCTCAAGGAAAGTTAGTTGTGACCATGTGAATGATGTGAGTGGAAATCTCCTGGGGCTTCCCTGTGATTCCAGGGTCTCTAGTCCCCTTCATGGGGAGAGCTGGATGGGAAACATTCTGAGTCTCAGGCTTGGCTCAGCAAATCTGGCTCGGTCTCTTGCCTGGAGATTGACTCTATCTTGTACTTTGCTCAGATCACCCATTCAAAGCCGGGTAAATCCTGGAGGAAGGAGATTCCCTGCTTAACTCTCCAGCTGGGGAAGATTCTGTCACTGACACAATCAAACCCTCCCCCAGGGCTGAGCTCTGCTTCTAACGCTGATTCTCTCTGTCCACAGTGAAAGTGACTCTGGATCCAGACTCGGCTCATCCCCATCTCATCCTGTCTGAGGATCAGAAAACTGTGAGATGGGGAGACACAAAGCTGGATCTGCCCGACAACCCTGAGAGATTTGACACTTATCGCTGTGTTCTGGGCTGTGAGGGATTCACCACGGGGAGACATTACTGGGAGGTGGAGGTGGGGGATGGGGAATTCTGGGCTGTGGGGGTGGCCAGAGAGTCTGTGAGCAGGAAGGGAGGGATCAGCCGTAACCCTGAGGGGGGGATCTGGGCTTTGGAGCGCTGGGTGGATCAGTACCAAGCGCTCACCTCCCCTGAGACCCCCCTGACCCTGAGCCAGATCCCCAGCAGGATCAGGGTTTATTTGGACTGTGAACAGGGACAGGTGAAATTTTTTGATGCTGGTAATGAGGCCCCAATTTTCAATTTCCCTCCATCCTCTTTCACTGGGGAGAGAATGCGCCCCTGGTTCCAGGTGGTGGGATCCCCATTCAGAGTGTGTTCCTGAGACATGGGGGGGAATATCCCACTGGGGGCCCTGAAATCAGCCTCCCTACAGACACCCTAGTCTCTGTGACTCTGGAGGACTCCCATTTAGCCAGTTCCCAGCTCCTCATCTCTCTGACCCCTGGAAGCTTCTTTCCCTCCCTCCCTGCAGCATCAGCGATGGGACGGGGGTGAAGAACCCCTAGAGCTGCAGGAGGAGCAGAGAGGCCAGGAGGGACAGATGTGGGGGCTGGGCAGGGGGTAGAATTAACAGCCAGGCTGGGGATAGGCAAATGTGGGGGTGGCAGGGACACAGAATTAATTAGGGTTTGGGGGGTTGGGGAGAAGCTGGAAGCTCGGCAGCAGATGGGAGGATTTTATACAAATCTGTTTCAGAGTAGCAGCCGTGTTAGTCTGTATCCGCAAAAAGAACAGGAGTACTTGTGGCACCTTAGAGACTAACAAATTTATTAGAGCATAAGCTTTCATGGGCTACAACCCACTTCTTCGGATCTGTGTCATTAGATCTCACTGGGGTCTCCACGCGACAACTCCTGCAGTGGGGGCCAAAATCTGTGGCTCTCTTTTCTTTGTTGTGATACATCACGATCTAGCCTGCACCCTGTTAAGTGCTGAAGACCAGAATGTCATTGCCATGGTAACGCTGTCCAGGGGCAATTTTGAGTTCAAGTTTCACCCTCCTAAGGAAAAAGCACAAATTGGTTTGATCTGGTTCAAAGACCTTATCAGGAAGCCTTTGACCTGACTGAGAAAAGACAGGGACACCATCCAAGAACTGACACAGGCATGAGACTGTGACCAACAGAAACAGGCCCTGTGGGAGGACCTTAAGTCTCCATGTGGAAGATGAAGGACCACCTAGTAAGTCAGGAGTTCATACAAGCTTTTTATTGCTTTAAGATATGTTTTCTGTGAAAAGCTTTTGTTCTGAATAAATAGTACTTTGCTTTATGAAAGCTGGCTGTTCATTGGATAACCCTGTCATTGGCCTGAGAGAAAAGAACTGGAGGTGCCAAATTGAAGTCAGACCTAATGAAGTGATCACAGAAAATAGCAGAAGTCTGCAGCCTAAGGCCCCATTCTGGAGAAAGAGAATTGTGGGATTACACCTACAGAAAGATGAGTGCTGGAGGCCTGTGATCTAAGTGGGGTGTCTTGAGTCCACAAGGAGGTTGGAGATGCAGTTAATGCAGGAACTCTGACATAGATCTATAATACAATGTTGTAGCCAAAGCTGCTCAGTGTTTGTCTCTGGATGCCAATGTTATTGTAACAGGGTTTGCTCACCACTCCGGTGCCTCCTCAGCCTGTCTTGGGAATTAGCTCTGCAGTTGAGTGCTTCCCCTTCGGGTGGTGCATTGCCGCCATGACTCCTGCTCTTGGACCCACATCTCTCCAAGGACCGTGGTGTCTTCTTCAACAACATAGCCTTCCGGCCATGCCACACACTGTGCTCCCCCCTTGCGGGGGAGCTGCAGTCTGCAATTCAGCCACTTCCCACCAGTGGCAAACTGCAGTCCACGGTCTATACACTTCCCACGTGGCTCCGGCACCCTCTTTACCCTTGTATCAGGGCCTCATGCTGCAACCACCCAGCAGCCAGCCAGGGACTTCCTCAGACCCTGTTTGCAGCACTGCTCTGTCCAGGGTGCTAGTAGTTCTCTTGGCCCTTCAGGGACACTATCCTTCCTCCCTGGGCTCCCAGCAGAGAACTGCCTTCCTCTGCCTTGCAGCTCCCTTTTTATATAGGCCTACTTGGCCCTAATTGGCTGCTCCCTTCAGCCCTCTGATTGGCTGCCTCCCTAGGACTGCTTTTAACCCCTTTTTTGCCAGTGAGGGGCAGCTGCCCCATCACAGTTATTAACACAAGCACAGAATGCAGATTGCTAATTCAAAAAACCTCAGTGATAACTAGGCAAATACAATTTAGATGGGGCTACTATAAGGTGGGTGCATAACTGGCTGGATAACCGTACTCAGAGAGTTGTTATTAATGGTTCCCAATCCTGATGGAAAGGTATAACAAGTGGGGTTCCGCAGGGGTCTGTTTTGGGACCAGCTCTTTTCAGTATCTTCATTAACAACTTAGATATTGGCATAGAAAGTAAGCTTATTAAGTTTGCAGATGATACCAAACTGGGAGGGATTGCAACTGCTTTGGCGGACAGGGTCATAATTCAAAATGATCTGGACAAATTGGAGAAATGGTCTGAGGTAAACAGGATGAAGTTTAACAAAGACAAATGCAAAGTACTCCACTTAGGAAGGAAAAATCAGTTTCACACATACAGAATGGGAAGAGACTGTCTAGGAAGGAGTACGGCAGAAAGGGATCTAGGGGTTATAGTGGACCACAAGCTAAATGAGTCAACAGTGTGATGCTGTTGCAAAAAAAGCAAACGTGATTCTGGGATGCATTAACAGGTGTGTTGTGAGCAAGACATGAGAAGTCATTCTTCTGCTCTACTCTGCGCTGTTTAGGTCTCAACTGGAGTATTGTGTCCAGTTCTGGGCACCGCATTTCAAGAAAGATGTGGAGAAATTGGAGAGGGTCCAGAGAAGAGCAACAAGAATGATTAAAGGTCTTGAGAACATGACCTATGAAGGAAGGCTGAAAGAATTGGGTTTGTTTAGTTTGGAAAAGAGAAGACTGAGAGGGGACATGACAGCAGTTTTCAGGTATCTAAAAGAGTGTTATAAGGAGGAGGGAGAAAACTTGTTCACCTTAGCCTCTAAGGATAGAACAAGAAGCAATGGGCTTAAATTGCAGCAAGGGAGGTTTAGGTTGGACATTAGGAAAAAGTTCCTAACTGTCAAGGTGGTTAAACACTGGAATAAATTGCCTGGGGAGGTTGTGGAATCTCCATCTCTGGAGATATTTAAGAGTAGGTTAGATAAATGTCTATCAGGGATGGTCTAGACAGTATTTGGTCCTGCCATGAGGGCAAGGGACTGGACTCGATGACCTCTCGAGGTCCCTTCCAGTCCTTGAATCTATGATATTCATAAAGAACGGCCACTGGCACGGTTCTGTGACAAAGGCACTTGGCCTGGTTTATTCAATTAATTGGCCTCGTTAGCACTGACCCCCCACTCAGTAAGGCAACTCCCATCTTTGCATGTGCTGTGTATTTATACCTGCCTACCATATTTTCCACTCCATGCATCTGATGGATTTTAGCCCGTGAAAGCTTATGCCCAAATAAATTTGTTAGTCTCTAAGGTGCCACAAGGACTCCTCGTTGCTTTTACACTAGGATAATGTTGCACATACGTGTTGTTTACCAAGGTTCCCACGCTGTTAGTGTAATATACCTTTACTGGAGCTTGGGCCCATCTTGAGATGACCATCATAATGTGAATGCTCTCACTCTCATCACTGGTCAGGAATGAAACCTTATCAAATCTAGCAAATTGTAAAAAATCCAGGGTAATATTTTTTTATTCCTTGTTCCTCTATCTGTCTTAGAATCGCTGTACAATTTAATAAGCGAGGTCAACGTAGCCTCATTTGTAATAAACTTTGTTTGAATATTTCAATTACTCTGTTTCCATAGGCTACACAGGCCACTGCCAATGAACCATCATTATTTCCAAACTATTGATAATTGAAAGGATAATAGCATTGAGATGTTCAAACCCTTGAGCAATCAAATGTATGTTATCAATGGCTATTGCATGTTGATTCAGCAAGAGTCTACTAATACATCTCCCAGTTTTTACTGCTTTCCCTACCCCATTCATGTTGCTATTTATCTTCAGATTAAGGTTCTCAATACCTGCTGTATTCCATACAGACATGCCAAGGGTTGAGCCTCACAGTATTGTATCTATGACACTTCTCTTCTCCCATCCTTGCTTCATTAAAGGATTTTGAAAACCTTTCCAGTATTGTAACTGTACTCTATATTTGATTCATTTTTATATATTAACTATTCTTTAGAATCTTTATCTTCAATACAGAGTATGTCAGACTTCTAAGGCCCAGAACACTGGTCCTTGACCAATAAGTAACCCCACTGGCTACTCACCATCTGCCTCGAGCTCCTGCCTCTGAGACTCAACGCCTCACCTGGCTTGCCATGCCCTACTTCCACCTTTGGGCCTGAAGCAGCAGCCAGCCCCAAACTGCCTTTTTGCAAGCGCCCGTGGGTGCACGTATCCCCCCCTTGGACTGACCCCCCTCCCCCCTGCAGCAAGTCCCCAGCTTTGTCCCTTGATACCTGCCCCATTTGCCCCTTGCAGCCTTTTGTCCCTCCTCTTTACCCCAATCCCCTTGCTAACTTCAGTTTGTTTGTCTGCCCTGCCTGTTTCCCTCTGCAGCCTTTGTTTATTTGCCCCGCCCCAGCCCTGAAGCTAGCCCTTTGGTTCCTCTGCCCCACTCCTAGCCTGGTTGTTCCCCTCCCCCTGCGCCCGCCCTTGTCCTGATTAGCCCCTCCCCTCGTGCGCCCATGCCCACTCCATGTGCTTGTGCCCCCCCCATTTGAGTCTGACCCTGTTTCACTGCACCCCCCCATGCTGTTATATCCTCCGATCCCCTAGTGCAGCTAGAGGAGCCGGAACCCCTCCGAGTCGGTGACTGACGCCCCCCCCCCAAGTCCTTGATAGCCCCCCCACGTCTAGCCCTCCCCTTCCAGCACCCTCCTCCCCTGCCTGCAGCCTAGTGGGAAGGAGTGGTTGCCCCCTTTCCCCTCCTCCCTCCGGTGTTTGTTCCCCCCTTGCTCTGATTATGGCGGGGGACACGGCAGGGGAGACCCCTCAGACAGACCCCGCTGCCCTCACTCCACCTGTCCCCGCATCGACCCCTCAGGCTTCCACCTCAACTGCCGCTGCTGAACCATCTGCTACCGCTCCCGTTGGGGTGCTGGCAGTGGTGGACACTGGGGTGCCCTCCGCAGCTGCCACATCCTTCGCCCCCTCCGATTATGGGGGAGCCCCCCCAGCCGGCGAGAAGGGCCAGGGCAAAAAGAAGGGTAAGGGTCCCTCCAAAAAGACCAGGCC